ACTTTATTTTGTGGAGACAGCTGGTGGATTTACTGGACCAAAATAGTTTCTGAGCCATCCCTGCATAAGGAAGAAGCAGAGAACCTTCTAGAAGGTTCCAACATATATTTTTTTCTTCTCTCCCTGATTAAATATCCAGGGCCACTAGGTGTGACCAGCTCCTGGAGATGTGATGGACTCTTTGGGGGAAATGGAAGTATGGGGTAGGATGGGAGGGCAGGGACAGTGGTATGCTCCAGTTCACTTGCCTTATTGCTGAACTGGAACTGAGGGAGGAGGGCAGGCTGGGAGATGGTGTCCAGCTGGCCCTTGAGGCTCTCTGTGCTGATACGAAAGCCTTCAAATGTTCCTGTCAGAGCGTCTTCATGAGTTAGCGTCTTTCCACGGAGCCCTGAGGCTGGCAGTGGATTAGACGTCATCTGCTCAGAGACACCCTGGAGTCAAGGATGGTGAAGCTTCATCACACATAGTTGGGACATGTGCTCAGAAAGGGCGAGTCCTTGGAAAAAGACATCATGCTTTGAAGGGTGGAGGATCAGTGAAGGAGAGGAAGACCCACAATGAGGCGCATTGACACAGTGACTGTAACATTGGGATCAAGTGTATCAGAGATGTTGAGGATGGCACTGAATAGGATCAGGTCCAGATCGGCTGCTCATAGAGTCACTATGAGTCAGGGCAGACTTGAGAACAGCGAGTTGAGGTTTGTCTTTCTGACAGGAATGAGGAGGAAGCATTCACACTTCTTTGGTTTTTTAAGCTATAAAAGTCTTCTTTTAAAAATATATTTAAAATTGATTTTAATGAAAGTTTACAGAGACTTTGGATTTCCATTCATTCATTCATTGTTGTACTTTTCTCCCTCCCCCACCCCACCTTCCCAATTCACTTTTCTTTTTGAAAAGTAAAGGAAAAAATTCTTCCATTGTTATTCAATCCCTCCCCCCAAGTCCACTCCACTATGCAGCCTTCGTTCTGAACTCCTGTTATGACAGTAATACCTAATCCTATCTCGTGGTTTCCCCATTCCTGTGGTGGAGGAGTTCTGCTGGCCCAGTCCGCAGCGTGTTGCACTGCTAACTACAAGCTGTGCACCTCTGGTGGTTTGAATCCGACGGTGACTGTGGGAGAAAGAGGTGTGGACTCCTCCCAGCAGCACGTGCAGCCTCAGAGACCTGACTGGAGGGTCACTGTGAGATAAGACTGGCTCGACAGCAACGAATTTGGCGATGGATTTGTTTTGGTGATATATCAGATTGTGCCAATCCCCAAATGTGGGTTTTCAATCCTGACTACCTACGTTTAGGGCTATACTCCTATCTGGAAACAGGTTTCTCTCTGCTGTGCTAATAATGCTGTATCGTTTGGAGGTGTGCCTTAAGCCAGTCACTTTGGAGATACAACAGGATGAAATGTAGATGCAGGGACAAAAGGGAGATTGATGGTGAGTGGAGTTCCCAAGGAATGAAGGGACAGAGATGAAGAGAGACAAGGATCTTCCCATGAGCTGACACAGGAGGGCCGGACCCTGAGTTCAGCCTTTTAGCCTTCTAGTCTCCAAAAGTCTGCCCTGGAGAGAGTGAAACCAGTTTGCTCTTTGGAGGCCAGGATGGTAAAACTCCACATTCCGTACTTTGGGCATGTGGTCAGGAGGAGGTCAGCATGCTTGGCAAGTTGGAGGCTCAGCACAAGAGAGCAAGACCCTTGACGGGATATATTGACACAGTGACTGTGGCAATGGGGTCAGGTGTGTCAGGGATGGTGAGGCTGGCTCAGGACAGGTCAGGGTTTCGAGCCATTGTTCACGGGGGTGCTATGAATTGCAGTCAACATGATGGCACATAATAAATCTCCTGAACTCTGAGAAGGCATTTCTGTTCCTTGAAGCCACCCAGTTGTGGCGTTTGGGTTGTTTTACTGTTGTTAGGCTCTGTCAGGTCGACTCCAGCTCACAGCCACTCTCTGCACACAGACTGAAGAGCTGCTCGGCCCTGTTCAGCCCTGAGCCATTCTCACAACCTCTGTTCTGGAAGCACTAAGAAACTAAGGGCTCCCCCTTATGGTTTTTTAAAAGTTGAAAACGTCATCCACCCCTGTGATCCATCAAGGCGAGAGACAGAACTATGTGGACTGCACTCAGGACAGGGATCCAGGAGTCCAGGGAGCCAGGGGTCCAGCAGGGCTTCCTTCTGTCCTCATGGGAGAGGTCATTGCAGGTGAGAGTGATGCAGCCACTGAGCTGCCCACATGCTGGAGCCGGCAAGCTGAATCCCCTCTCTGGTGTCCAGGCTAGTGTAGACATCCACCCCATGGTGGGCTGCTTCTCCTGCCTTCTCTCTGTCCCCACTGTCCTTCACCCCAGTTCTTTACTTCCTCTGCTTGGATCCTAGCAGGCTGCCTCACCGGGCCTCTCTGGCCCTCTGACTTCCAGTCAGGGCTGTAGAATGAATGGGAAACATCACCCAGAGGCTCAGGGTGGGAGGAGAATCAGGAATCTTCATTCCACTGCTTCTTCTCTGGCAATGGTTGTCTTCTGAGATGACAGGAGCTATAGGGCAGCCCCTCCACTAGGGGCCTTGACTTCCCATGGCCACCAACCTTGGATTCATCCTTCTCTTTTTTGTGAGTTTCCCTTGTCTAAGAGTTGTTGTTGTTGTAAAGTGCTGTTGAGCCGTAGGCGACTCATAACAACCCAATGAACGAAAGTCCTCAACACTCTTGTGACTTTCATCCTTACTCCAGGTTCATAGGGTTTCCAGAGGCAAGCTATTATGGAAGTGGACGCCACTTCTGCTTCCAAGCTTGTTTTAATTGGGGAGCTTTACCAAACACTGTCCACCAGGGTAACCATTCTCACATTTGACTCATCAGTGTCACAGTGTTTAGCTTCACAGCAACCACGAGTTGCCTCTGTATGGCAAGTGGACACACCGGGGCTATACGACCTCACAAGTAACTGGGTTACATTGCACCACAGGGACTTCTTGGCTCTGATCTTAATGGAAGCAGTTTTCCAGGCCTTTTCTCCTTGGCCCCTCCAGGTGGGTTCAAACCATCAAACTGAAGGTGAGCAACTGAGTGTAGACGATTGTTGTTGTGAGAGGCTGTCTCCTCGGTTATGCCTCACAGCAGCACCATGTGCCACAGAGCAAAATACTAACACCCTGAATAGTTTTTGTAACCCCACCACTTCTCGGTCCAAGTCGCTCCCTGAAAGTCCCTGCTGGGTTAAGGGCTGTTGCTCCCATTGTCGTGAGGTGAGCTGGGTAAGATTCTGTTTCTCCTCCTAGACAGGTCACAGGCCCAAGGGCAGGAGTCATACCTCTCTAAGCTTTATACCTGCAGTGTGGCAGCAGTGGGTCCATGGGAAAATGCTTTCTTTTTATTGAAAACTTTTTAAAAATTAATGTTAGTGAAATTTTACAGAGACTTAGGGTTTCCAGTCATTCAGTGTTGCACTTTTCCCCCTCCCCCTCTTCCCCCCAACTCATTCTTCTTGGAAAGAAAGAAAAACTCTGTCATTGTTATGCAATCCCTCCCCCTAAGTCCACTCCACTGTGCAGCCTTCATTCTGGGCTCCCGTCAGGGCAATAATACCCAGTCATATATCCCTTTTAAAGGAAAATTCTTTTTCTGCGGGCAGGAGACCTGGGTTGGGTGCCCACCAAGCCGCTACCACCCATCTGTCAATGGAGACGCATGTGCTGTCACGATGCAGAGAAGCTTCAGGACGTTCTGACCCAACATTCTGATCAGGTGCAGGATGAAGGTCCGATAATCCAGCAAACAAGGTAAGCACAAGCTTACCTGTGCTTACTTGTTCACATGTCTTTACCACATCAAAGATTCAGCTTCTAGGCCCTTCCAGGTCTGGCTGGTGTCTTGTCTCTCTCACGCAGCCCCACAGCACCTTTCCACAGAATCAAAGCCTCTTTGCAAATTGACAATCACTGGCAGGGACTGAGGACCTGTAATCTGCAATGAACAGCTTCACGTGCTTTGTGAAACATCAAAGCCACCTCTGCAGAACCCAGCAAAGCACTGACTGGAGCTGTGACAGCTTTGCGGGGAGTTGAGGGCACCTGCCAGCTTTCTTCAGGCTTTGCCTCTCTGGCTATTTGGCTGCGAGGACCCCCTCATCCTTCTAGTCCTCCTACTCTCAGAGGCTCACCTGGGACCTTCTTGTCAAAAGTGTGGCTTCTAGAACCTGAGCCCTGTCGTCTGGGGGTTGGACCACAACCCTCTACCAGCCCTTTCTTCTTCTTAACTCACCACTCACCACTATCTCTGCTATTCCCTTAATACGACATCACTTAGGTGGGTCTCCCCCCCTTCTCCCAGTTACTGCAACAGAGGGGCTCAAGCCCCAGAATTTGTGAGGTAGTAGCCCGCTCCCAGACCCCTACCAAGAGTCCCAACAGCATGCGCTGGAGGCCCAGCACTGAGGCACTCATTTTCCCCCTAAGTGATCATAGCAAGCCTCTTGTAGGGTAGAGTCACCCCACTTTTTATTTTTACTTTTTTTCCATAGTAGGGAATTGAGACCTGGAGATTTTAAAGAACTAGTCCAGTGACGCCCAGGTGGCTGGTGGCAGAGCTAGGACGTTTCCCGCTGTGCTTTCTTAGCGAAGACACTTTATCTCCTTACGGATGCGCAGCGCGCTCTGCCCCAGGTGAAGAGACTCCTTCTAGCAATGAACTTGATCTCAGGTCCCAGCGCGAGTCTCACCGGAGTCCCCGCGGAGTCTCACGCCGCCCCCTGGTGGCGGGTGGCCGCCAACGCCGTGCATGCTAATGAGCCCGGCGAGCCGCTCGCTGATTGGCTGGCGCGGCTTCCAGCTGCCTCCCCACGGGGCTGGTGCGGAGACAGAGTCGAGGGGCGCCTCCCGCAGCAGCACCCCCCGCCCGCCGGGTCCCCCGGAGCTGTCAGGAGCGCGGCTGCCTGGTGCACTGGGGCCTCTCCAGTTGTGTGTTTCTTTTTTTTCTTCTCCATTTATTTTTCTGGATCTGAATTCATCCAGGGTCCAGGATGACAATCCGGCACCAAGGCCAGCAGTACAGGCCAAGGATGGCCTTTCTCCCAAAGGTAACCCCAACCCTCACCTGGGTGGAGGAGGGGACGGACCCAAGCCCTGGAAGTGTCCCGGGCGACGTGGGAGGCTGGGGTGCGCGGGGACAGGAGTCAAGGGCGCCTCTTGGTGCGTTCGCTTTGTTTGGGTTTTTTGCTACATGACTTCTTTGCTGTGTGTTTGTGCCTTTTTAAAAGGCTGTAGCGGTGAGATTTCCTGGTCACCTGTTTAGAGAGGAGAAGGTGAAGGGTGAAAACAACCTGTTACTCAGTTCAGCCCCGACGATGTCAGCTTTGAGACCGGCTCCTGGCGTTGTTGTACTACCTGCAGATGGTCCATAAATTGGCGCCTACATTTCTGGCATATTTTTTTCTTATCCTAAATTTGCAGTGTTTTAAAGTAACTGTGTGTGGGTGTGGACACACCATTTCCAGGACAGCCACTCCGTTGGTGATGCCTGAGTCTCCCCCTCCACGTGTGTATCTACACCTGTGTATCCTGGTCACTTAGCGCTGACCGTAGGAATAGGGACTCTGTTTTGGCAAATGTTGGCCTCTAGCCAGTGGCCAGCCACCTGCTGTCCATCCAGGTGGACATGCGGGCAGAGAGCTGCACCTGTAGGCGATACATTTGCTTCAGGGATTTTAAGAGGACTAGCGTAAGAGAGGATTAAGTCTCGGGTCATCTGTCCGCCCTTGCTTCCATTCACAGAGAGGAACGTGTCTGTCTCCTTGAGCTTATCTCATTAAGTAGAATTAGCTGGATCCTTGTGACAAGCCCAGCTCCGTCCCGAGAACCTCTGAAACTCAGAAAGTAAGATCAGTTGAGGACCAACTGTCCTGGTTTTCTCGGGACCTGGAGCTTCCAGTGCTGAAACCGGGATTGTCCTGGGCCTGTGGAACAGCAAGTCCCTCTGGGTCCACCTGCCTCGAAAAGCTGGTGCTCTGGGCAGTAGAGGTGCCAGGACCACAGCTGGGCAGAGTGAGACACTGTCTCACACAGAGAATCCCATGAGCCTGTATTGCAAACAGCAGCTCCTAGGAGCCACAATGACTGTTGAAACGCTAGAGCTGAAGACCACAGGCCGTCTCTGTGGGTTCAGCCCAGGGCAGCGGCTTCTCCCTGGCAGGAGAGGGAACCTGAGCTGCTCTTTTGTTGTGTTTTGAGTCTTAGGTATTCTTTCCCATCAGGCATGTTGTCTGGTAGATGTTTCTTTCTTTGACTCCACGATCGGCGAGGTGTCTTGGTCTCCAGCCTCCCTTCCTCTCTGCAGCCTGTCTGTGTGTCTGCTCCAGGCTCCTGCCCTCCATCCAGCCTTCCTGCCTCTCTGCCAGCCCTCCTCGCCTGTCCGGCTATCACCTCCTTCCATTCCGGGCTTCCCTTCCTGCACTCCAGCCTCCCCTTCTTCAGCCAGCCTCCTCTTCCCCAACCCAGCCTGCCCTTCTCCACCCCACGCTCCCTTCCTCTGCATAGCCCTCCTCCTCCTGCTCCATCCTGCCAACTTCCCCCTCTATCCAGTCTTCTCTGTCCACCTTCCCTGTTTCTACCTCAGCCTCCTGTCCTCCAGCCTCCCTGCCTTCCCCCAGCCTCTTCTCCATTCAGCATCCCTCTCCTCCACCTCAGCCTCCTTTTCCTCACTCAGCTACCACGCTCTTACGTCCTGAACTCTTCATCTTCGTTCGTCCATCATTCTCCATCCCAGCCTCCTCTCTGCCACCCTCACCCTCCTTTTTTCCCTTCCGTCCTCTCCACATTCTTCCTGGAACCAACTCAGCAAGGCGTCCAGACTTCTGGAGTCAGACCGAGGCCAAAGCAATGAGGAACAGGGGGCAGTTGACAGTCATCCCTGGTCAGTGTAGGTTCACGACCCTCTGAAATATCTCTGGATGGGCCTTATGTCTCATCTGTTTCACAGGGCAGAGTTTGTCCTGATTTTACAGAGAAGCACATTGAGATTGTTGTTGTTGTTGTTGTTATGTGCCGTCGAGTCGCTTGTGACTCATAGCGACCCTATGTACAACAGCCCTAAACCCTGCTCTATCCTGTGCCAATCACACTGTCTCTGACACTCCCATCCCGATTATCCCAGTCACTGAATCAATCCACCTCATAGAGGGCCTTCCCCTCCTGTGCTGTCCCTCCACCCTCCCCCACATGATGTCCTTCTCCAAGGACCGGTCTCTTCTTACAATATGTCCAAAGTATGTTAGACAGAGCCTCAGAATCCTTGCCTCCAAGGAGCCACCCGGTTTAACCCTTTCTAGGATGAATCTGTTTTCCTAGCAGTCCATGGTACATTCAATGCTCTTCTCCAGCACCACAGCTCAAAGGCATCAATTCTTGTGTTCTCCTTGAGACAGGTTAAACCACTTGTCCCAGTCAGTCACTCAGCCATTGTGTGTATGTGTGTGTGCGTGTGTGAACCCCTTGAACTGGCCATTGTGGGTTGTCTGATGAGATGCTGCACTGTGAAGGTGTGAGGGGCTGAGTGTGCAGACCCGTGGGGTTCTGACTGTGTTGTCGGGGGTGGGGTGCTGACCCGAGAGCTGCAGGATAGGCAGGCATCCTGGCAGAGGGAAGGAAAGGATGCTCTTGATAGAGGGTGGGCATGTGCCCAGAGGGCGGGGAACTCAGGTGGGCCTGAGGACACGTGGTTCTGGGCAGGTGGTATTTCAAATTCTGGGGCGTGGGAGGCTGGAAGGGTGGGTGGGGCTGGGGGGCTCATAATCAGCCTTTTGAACTTGAAGGTGATTTGGGGTCTAGAGCTACTGAGGAATCTGAATAGGCGAGTGACGTGGGTAGGTTTGCAAATTGAAAACACCGCTGATGGCTGCTGATGTGAGCGAGAGGGATGGGTGGAATTTTCCTTCTTTCTCTGAGTGAAAAGAGTTCACCTGGGGTCCTCCTGAGCCTCTTCAACTCCGTCCTTCTGGGATACGCAGGCTTTTCACAGGGGAGGGGAGAGGAGAAAAGAAAGGGAGGAGGTGTGTCTGAGGCCCCTTCTTCTCCCAGGGCCTCGGAGGCTTCACCCAGCAGCCTCTACCTCAGGCTCGGGCAGCCTCTGGGGAGGTCCTGGCTAGCCCCGGGCTGTCTGCTCCAGTTTTTGTTGGAGGCTTGCTGGCTGGACCTTGCCAGGGAGGAGTCATGGCCTTATGTAAGATATGGTAGAAGGAGGCAGGGGCCTCACCTGTCGCTGGGAAACAGGGGGACAGCCTGCTGTGGCCTCAGGCCCTGGAGTTTCTGCCCAGCAGCCTGGCCATCACGCAAGGTGCACGCTCAGTTCCTCGAGTCACTAGCACGCTTCCTCACGGAGCTTGGGCGAGAGGTGGGCTTGAGAAGGACCATGGAGAGAAGGGGTCTCAAAGAGACATGGCAGAATTTAGAACTTAGTCCATGACTGTGCCGTCTGAGGAGTTCCAGGAAGTGCAGGGGAGTGGGGACACCAGATAGGCTCCGGCCCATCCCCTTCTGTGAGTCTCCAATCAGCATCTCAGTCCTGCATTTGGGACTGACCATGATGGGGCTTTCTGGGGCCATGTGGAGAAGTACTGTGTTAAAGGCCATTGTTTTCCAATGTCGCTGTGGGAGAGGGGTGGGGAAGCAGGAATGCTGAGAGGAAACAGGGCAAAGGTGCCATCTGTGGCTCCTGCCACTCATTCCGTATCGATACAGGTAGAGCTTTTATATGCTGGGTGCTGGGGACACCAGGGGATTAAGACACAGCCCCTGGCCTCTGGAAGCTTGGGGTCTAGTAGGGACAAGGTGACCTTTCTATGGATAAATAAGGATTGGACAGTGTTGTGTAGGTTGTGGCGGCTGTTTTCAGAGGGTGCACACAGCACATGGGTCGCCATGAATGTAAATGGCAAGTGTTTCCAAATTCAGTGCTTGAAATTTTGGGTTTTTATATAAGACAGAGGAAGGAGAGGTCAGCTCTACTTGGGGTGAAGGGAATCAGAACAGGTTACATAAGGGGGCTTACAGCTCTGCTGAATATGCAGATTTGTTTCTTCTGTGGAAAGGGGAGGATGGTGAGGGGCATGGACCCAGGAAATAGCACGATGGTTTAGACAACTCAGGATGGCTGACCCCAGGTGGCTGGGGGTTGGTGAGTGTAATGGCTAGTAGGTAAGTCCCACACTGGAGGACTTCAGAAGCCATGTGAAGGTGTACAGTGCTTTCTTTGTGCCCGAGGAGCAGCTGTTTGAAGTTTCAAAAGCAGGGATGAGGGACCCGGGTTGGTTTGTGAGCTACAGCAGGGATTCCAGGAGAGACAGCAGTTGTTCTCTGCTCTGGGTGTTCTCTTGGAACTCCTGGTATCCGGGCGCTCATCTCAGCTTCTGATCCACACTGTGACTCAGGTATCGAGTGCTGCTGTAACACAAATACCACAAGTGGATGGCTTTAAGGGACAGACATTTGTTTTCTCACAAAACGTCCTAAAAGTCCTAATCAGGGTGTTGGCTGTGCCAGGTCCTTCCTGGTTGGCTGTGCTGGGCGTTCTTTGGATCCTTGGTTTCCAGACAGTCTTCACATGGTGTCTGGTTCTCATCTGAAACTGTCTCTGGATGTGTGTGTATCTGGGCCTATGCTTCTTACGTAACTCAGAAGTGACTAGGTTTAGGATCTATCCCACACTGGTTCCACCTTAATCGATACATTACATTAGATTGCATTGTGGCAATTGATCACACGGCATTATTGCTGTTGTATGCCATCCTCATTATCTCCAATACACTTAAACACATTGTTACAGTCGCCATATCAATTCACTTCATGGGCCTTCCTCTCTTAGGCTGACCCTCCACCTTTTCATGCATGATATACTTCTCCAAGGACTGGCCCCTTTTAATAATATGTCAACAGGCCCCTCTTAACAATATGTCAAACATATTTTTCCACTATGAACAGTAGAGGAGTACTTTTAGATATAGTATATTACATTGGGGCTTCGTCTGACATACTTTGGACATGTTGCCAGGAGAGGGACATCATGCTTGGGAGGGTGGAGGGACAG